AATATACCAGTTAATGTACACACATATATTCCCTTACTCTTGTCAGCTGAGAGGGCCTAGAAGCAATGACACCCCAGCAATAAGCACATTCAGGGCCCAGGTCCTTGTTTCTAATACCATTCTCCAATAGAAGGAACCAGTGCTTAGAGAAAAGGCTGATTTTGGGACTGGAACAGGAAATATGCACAATAAGCCTTGGGCATCTTATAGCTCCAGAAAGTACAGAAGTGCTAAACAAACCAAAAATCTTTGATGGGGATATATCAAAGGAGAGACACAGGAGCCAACTGAAAAGAGCTCCAAATGGCCAAAGCTGGAACAATTTGAAGTAGTAGTGGATTATAACCCAAAGTATAAATGAAGTACTGCTGGATTTTAACTCAAAGTATAAAATAAATATCCATGAGTCCATACTGATACAAATGATAGAATAAATAAATAAATGGAGAAGAGACAAATCTCCCATGCAGAATTTCAAATAATTTATGTGTATACTCCCCACCTCCAGCTGATGAAGCATAACTCCCCATTTCTAAGTATGCGCTGCACAGTGACTTCCTTCCAAAGAGGACGGTATGGAAGGATGTGTGGGGGGAGGACTTTACAGTGTAGAACCTGAAAACACTATCTCAGCCAGGTGATCAAGGTCAATATAAACAGTGAAAAGTCATGTTGATAGTGTGTATCCTTGATATCATGTGATGACAATAGCACGTTACGTCACTGGTCTTCCACCCCAAAACCCATAACTCAGTCTAATCCTGAGAAAAATATTTTAAAAACCCCCAAAAAGGGACATGCTACAAAATACTTGGCTAGCACCCTTCAAAACTGTCAAGGTCATCAAAAACAAGGAAAGTCTGAAAACTGTCACAGTCAAGACGAGTCTGAGAAGATGACAACTAAATGTCCCTCACTGATTTCTTGCTTCACTTTCACATCAAGTTCTTTGTCCTGTAGAGTTATTATGTTTTACCTCCATCTTCACACCCAACCTCAAACACATCAATTTCTGCAACATGTGGTTTCATTTTTAAAAAATACATATTTTGGTCTTGTTATATTCTCGTACGTTGAGCCTTTCTCAATCCTTTAGTATTTTATATTCAAGTAGTCAATCTGATATAAAAAAATCTCCAAGATAATATGGTCAAGTGAAAAATTTAAAATTAGGTTAACAACGATAATACATAAAATGTTCCCACTTGTGTTTAAATAAGATACAGTTGACAATGTTATCTCTGGGGAGTGGGACTTCATATCTGGGATGGTTAGAAAGCTGTGTTCATAATTATTCACGTATTGTCTTAATTTATAAATTATATTTTCATAACAAAACAATTTTAAAGAACAAATAGACGCCCAATTGTGCCACTCTATGGCCCTGAGCAAGTCTGCTTCGTCTCCCAGAATCTCAGTTTCCTCCTCAACAGAAAAGGGACAACACTGCTCCCTTGTAAGGTTGCTGCGAGATAATATGTACAAAGTGCCTGCTCTGTGGTAGGGGCTCCCTATCTTACTGATATCTCGCCCAACCTCATTAAAACAGCACCCGATTTCAGGGTAACAAGAGCTGGGGACACTGCCTCACAGCTTATCTCACAATGGTACTATTATCAATATCTTCCCGGGAATGGATGCCAAGTTGCCCCAGCCCCCGCCCCACCTGTTAAAAGCACTGACCTAGGATGCAGAGGATCCCGTCTGGTCGAGACTTGCTGCTCTGGGTCAGGATGCTTTGAACCTGGCGGAGTCGGCTACAGCTGCAATGAGAACAGAAATCAGGTCCCTGAGTACCACTAGCACATAAAGGCATGATGAAGAGGAATGATTGCTAGGGACGGAGAGTGGTCCTTGTTTGGTTTTGGTATCTGAACCACAAAATGAATTGGGAAGTGTTCCCCTCTCTTCTATTTTCCAGAAGTGATTATGCAAAATTGGTCTGAAGACTAAGTCTGAACTGATTACAAACTGGATGGTCAGTGGCTCCCTGACTCAACAGAGGATGGAGCCAAAGGCCCTCTTGTAGTCAATGCTTGGGCAGTACTGGGACTCAGAAGCTTAGCAGAAAGAACGTCCAATGACTTCTCATTTTTGAGGACTATCAAAGCATTTCCATCACACTGACTTCCCTAACTGTGGTCTTCACCAGTCTGTTAAAAACAAAAATCAAAACCAAACATAAAAACCAAAATACCTGGTCTAAAGGCCTAAGGAAGCTCTGATTTGTCATCACAAGCTACCGTAATCAAAACAGGGTGGTAGTCGCATAAAGACATAGAATAAACAATGGAATAGAATAGGGAGGCGGGAAATAAGCTCCCTTTGGGACTGACTTCTTTCACTTACTACAATGTTCTCATGGTCAAACGATTTTTGACAAGGGTACCAAGACCATTCATTCTGAGAAAGGTCAGTGTTTTCAACAAATGGTTTTGGAAAAACTGTATATTCACATGCAAAAGAATGAATCTGGACCATTACCTTATACCATATACGAAATTTAATTTAAAATAAAAACCTAAATGTAAACCTAAAACCATAAAACTTTTGGAAGGAAACATATGCAAAAAGCTTCATGACATGGATTTGGCAATGCTTTCTTGCTATGACACCAAAAGCACAAACAACAAAAGAAAAATTTATAAATTAGATGTCATCAAAATGAAAAACTTTTCATCAAAAGATGCAATTAACAGAGTGAAAAGGTAACCCACAGAATGGGAGAAAATATCTGCAAATCATGTATCTTATAAGCAGCTAATATCCAGAATATATAGAGTTCCTAAAACTCAACAGAAACAAAAAACCCTGATTCAAAACGGGCAAAGGACTCGAACACACATTTCTTCTCTAAAGAAGATAAACAAATGGCCAATAAGCACTTGAAAACATGCTCAACATAAGTAATCATTAAGGAAATGCAAATATAAACCTCAAAGAGACACTACTTGCACACAGATTAGGATGACTACTATCAAAAAACAGAAAATAACAAGTGTTAGCAAGGATGGGGAGAAATTGGAACCTTTGTGCACTGTTGGTGGGATTGCAGAAAAGTGCTACCACTGTGGAAAACAGTGTGGAGTTTCCTCAAAAAACTAAAAACATGATTCAGCAATTCCACTTCTGAGTATATACCCAAAAGAATTGAAAGCAAGGATTCGGAGATATCTGTACAGCTATATTCACTGCAGCATTATTTAAAAGGTAGAAGCAATGCAAATATCTATTGATAGATGAATAAATAAACTGTGGGGTAGACATACAATGGAATATTATTGGAATCTTAAAAAGGAGATCTTTTAATCTCCTTTTTAACATGATGTAAACATGATGAACCTTGAGGACATTACAGTAAGTAAAATAAGCCAGTCACAAGAGGACAAATACGGGGGGATAGGGCAGGGCGAGGGGGGGAGGAATGTGCAAAAAAATGTATATAAGTGGACACTTTGGTCAACATTTCTCAAGAAGTAGTTCGCCGTAATCAGAAGTATCTGGATGCTGATGGTCACCACTTTGAGCACCTCTTGTAATAGCATAAGTCAGATGTGACTTGTATTCATCTTTTGTTATCAGTATATATTATTACAATTTTAATAGTTTTTCCTTTCTTAAAATGTGTATACATGTTTTTGGCACCCTCTGTATTGTATGATTCCATTTTTATGAGGTATCTAGAATAGTCAAATTCATAGAGAAAGAAAGTAGAGTGGTGGTTGCCAGAGGCTTGGGGTGGGGAAGGAACAGGGAATTATTGTTTAATAGGTACAGTTTCAGTTTTGTAAGATGAAAAGAGTTCTGTGGATGTATAATGGTAATTGTAACAATGTGAATGTACCTAATGCCACTAAATTGTACACTTAAAAATGGTTAAGATGGTAAATTTTATGTGTATTTTACCACAATTTAAAAAAATTTTTAAGTTAAAAAAATTCAATGCCATGTAAATGAAAAGAACAAAAAGGGAGAACTCTTCTAATGTAAAAGAGATTAAAGAATAATAATATAATGCAATGTACAAAATTTAATATGATTAATAAAAACAGGGAAACAACCACGAGGAAGCTGGGAAAATTTGAATATGGACTGGGTATTTGATGATAATAAGGAATGACTGTTAAATTTTCTTGGGTCAATCTTATTATAGTTATATAGTAAAGTATCCTTTTTCTTATCATATTCATGAGGGATTACTTAGGAGTGAAGTGTCATGATGTCTGCAACTCGAAAAAGGTTTAACAGAAAAAAAGAAAGAAAAAGAAAAGAATAAAGACAGCACACATGGCAAAATGTTAAAAATTGTTGAGTCTAAGTGGTGGGTATAACAAGTATTCATTCTTTTTACCTTTTCTGCACTGTTTGAACATTTTCATAATAATCTGAGGCTGGAGATAAGGGGGACATGTAGAGTAATTTAGGGTTTTAGAAACAGCAGTAACAGTAACTGCAAGACGATTAAGATTAGAGTAAGAAAACTTCTTTCCCTGGGAAATGGTTGTCTGCCCTTCCCCATTTTTTCATGTTATTAATATAAGACTGACCTCGCAATCATTTCCTACACTAAGAATATTTCATCAAGTTGGTCCTTTGGCCCATTTCCCAACCCATCTAGACAGAAGGCTGACTGACTGCCAAAGATTACCAACAACTCTCTGGTCTTCAAACTTACAAGAAGCCAGTGACAAAAGCAAAAATAGGTCATATGACCAGGAAACAAACAACTCCCCCAGTCCTGCTGTGGAAAGCCAAGACAATACTGAACACAGAAGCAAAAAGAGTTTCTTTTCCACAAGTGTCCTGGCCAAATAAAGCAGAAGCGTATACAATGTAGAAAGATATCCCTCTTCCCAGAGTATGAGTAAAACATTATCCTAACTAGTATCTCTTATTTTCTTGTCAAACTAAATACAGCTCTCCTTTTCCTTTGTACATTTTCTTGCGTCCCAAATTTAACTTTTAATCATATATAGCCTATTATTTGTTACTGAACCATTCATTAAACTTCACACCTACTGAAATATTTACCTATTAAAAAAAAGATCTGGTAAGTACATATAAAGAAAACCACAATCACCCATATTCCCACACCCAGAATTAATCATTACTAACATTTTGTACATTTGCTTTAATCTAAGTTAGTACATTGTCCAATTATGTACATGAAATATTAATTTATTATCCTTTTATGATGAAAAATGGAATATTACATATAAAACTAGTCTTCATTGTTCTTCAACCCCAGAGGTCACCATTTTGAGTTTGTTGTGTATTCTTCCTGACTTTTTTTTAATAGAAACTTCCACACACACCACCAAGCTCAACAATTGTACTGCCCTGTAGCTTCCAGGTCTACCTGAGCACAGCTGGCACATCCTGGGTAGATGGCCTCTTGTCACCCATGAGTTTACAAAGTTCCTCCATTAAGATACCTGTAGACTAAGCAGACCTAATAATGCAGTTTGTGCTATGTATGCTGCTTGTATACTATATTTTTAACTTTCCTCGTATTCAGACTCAGAATCTAGACAGGTGACAAGATGAAGAAACCAAGACCTAAATAGAAGCAGTTTGCCCAAGATCACAAGGCTGAGTAAAGATTAACAGCACCAAACCTGAGCGACCCCGTACCCTGACTCTGAACTTTTTCTTGCTGATACACCTCACTGATTTCTTGACAATAAAGATAGCCACAGATATTTTTAAACTCTAAATAATCATCTCTGTGCGTGATTTATAAGTAATAGTTCACTGCTCACTGATTTTACAACAATTACTGTATACACAGCCAGGTATATTCTCTTATTTGTTTGTATTTAATTATCCTGGTTCCCTGGAAATAAAGAAAAAAATGGAAAATTTATCTTTGCTTGTTTTTCCTCCATAGTTTATGCTAACCTTTTGAATTTCAAAATTCAATAATTAAAACACAAATATATTCTCCTATTCCATATGTTCTGTGTTTTGAATGTTTTACAAAGTGAATTCTCATACCAATCTGATTCATCATAGAAAAGGGCTATGAATAATTTAACGTGAATCTCTCTAATATATAGTTAGGGTAAATTTTTGTGGGGGGCGGAGGTTATTCATATATAAAATCATAATCAAGAGGTATGTAACTAACTGTTCTACAACATGCTCTTTTCACTTAACATTATACATACCTGAAGATCTTTCCAAATTAGTACATGGAACTTAATCTCATTTTAAAAACTCCTGTACTGTATTCTTTTCTTTTTATTTAACCAGCCACTATGATTGAACATTACGGATTTTTATTATTTTGCAATAGCAAACAATGCTTCAACAGGCAATCTTAAACATTCACTTTTGGCACAAGCACAGAAGTTTCTGTAAGGTAGAGACCTAAAAGTAGCACTGCCAGGTTAAGAGTTATCTGCATTTTAAATTTTGATAGATCTTGACAAATTGTTTTCTTAAAACATTCACCTACAATGTCCCAGAGTACATGTTTCCCCACAACTTTCTAAACCATGAGTATATTACTCTTCAACTAATGTTAATCTAATGTTTAGAATTTTCATTGTTATAATTTACTTATATCAATTCCCTAATCACTAGGGAGGTTGTCAAATGTTTATTGATCTTCTATATTTCTTTTTCCATGAATACATAGTCATATTCTTTGCCCATTTCCTATATGGTCATTTGGGGTTTTTTTCCTGGATAATTTATATATTCCATCATATTTTAAAAGTTATTTTGGTCATATGTTGCAAATATTTTCTTAAAACTT